AAAGACGAGGCACCAGAGGTTGATCATTTGGAGCTTCAGTATGTGGTACAGCCCCAGAGGATGAAGGCAATAAATGCCTTTAGAACAAACTCACAAACCTCTGATGATCATTTAAAATTTGACCATCGGATTCCTATAACTGATCAAGCTTTCTCTTCATGGTTGTAGAATAGCTATATGCGAGCATGTGCAACTGTCTATTCTCGTGCTTAAGCCCTCTGATCTCCTATTTGAGACTTATCACTTTAGTCGCCAACGATTCAACTTGGCGGGTTCGAGCAAATAGGCGTTGGGCCGTATTAGACACAGAACCTGCACATTAAACACTGAAAGCCAGAGAATCTTTAACAGCCAACTCATCGGATCATTTGGAAAGTAGTCAGTTGTCTTTGGGAGTAAGAAGATTCTTGGCCACCACCGCAGCGGTCATATCATTCTTCATCACAGAGTCCCCAATAGTAAGGGGACCAGTAGGAGATAAGAAAGATAGGCGCCATATGTTATCTTGAGGAGACATGGCTACCTCTTCTACAACATTCAAGTCTAAACGATGGTCGGACGGGCCAGACATTCTCAGAAAAGATAAAGAAAAAAAATGAAGTATAATAAGTCTCAGAAGTACGAAAATAAGGGAAAAATTCTTACAATCAATAACTTTTAGAACAGACTCCTCGAACTTCATTGGTGCTCCTATAAAAGAAAGAGCCAGATCTTCAATAGGGCTGCTTGTTCAATAATCGAAGAGGCACCACTCTCCAAATTTCAAGAAGCGGATTTCCTGGGTTAAAATTTATTAGCAATCTTCACACGCGACATCAGTTCCTCGGATCCCAAGGACAACTTTGCCAAAGAACTTTGACAAAGTTAAGACAGGTAAATATTGAAGGCCCAGTTACCCTACTATTACCCACAAGGATAAAAGAACAACATCATTGCTTGATTATTGGAAAATCCTTATGTGTGTCAACCTCTATGCTCTGTGGCAAAGTAGACTTGCAAAAATGCCCAACCTTTCTTCACATCTGAGAAAACACTTCCAACAAGATTGCTTGCCCAGAAATCGAAGAGGCACCGCTCTCCGAATCTCGAGAACCATATCCCCAATAAGATTGCCTGCTCAGAAATCGAAGGGGCACCGATCCCTGAACTTCGAGAAGTCGGATTTCATTGGATAAAATTTGTCCACATTCCTCACACGCAACATCAGCTTTCTGGATACCACAGACCACTTTTTCAAAGTGCTCTGACAAAGTTAAAACACGTGAACCTTACAGCGACCACTACATTGCTTTGACCAAGAAGGGTAAAGGAATATCATTACTACTTGCTGTTGGGACAATTCCTATATATGTTGACCTCTATCCTCCACAGCAAGGCAGACCTGCCAAATAAAAAAAAAATGCTCAACCCTTCCTCACATCCGAAATGGCACTCCCAATCTAGCCTCTCGAAATACTCCGTCTTCTTCTCCCTCGACAATATGCCAACCAGCCACATCCAAGCAAGAATATCTCATATCATCAGGGTTGAAAGCAAGAGTATCCCATACCATACTTTTTCCTTGTCTTTTCCTTTGCCCTTACTCTTACTTGCAGGACAAGGAGAAAGAATGCAATCAGTCAGAACCTGAAATCAAACTTCCGATCTAGAACTGATTGCCCGGAACCTTTGCATGGTCGCTTGCCTAGCATTGCTCTCGAGTACTCATCCTCAACTGTTGTCAAGGTCACGAATTCCTTCGGCAAATACCTCAGAACAGTTGGTACGATATTGGCTCTTTACACTAAAGCTGCCAAGCATGGAGGAGTCACTGAGAAGTGGTGCTCTGAAGGACCATTTAAATGCAAAGGTTGCACACCATTTCTGCTATACAAAAGATTGAAGCAGAAGGTTCAACGACTAGCTATAACAGATCACTACAGCACGACGCCTTTCTTGTGGAACCGCACAATCCAGACGGAAGAGTCTAAGTCAAATCCAAGCTCGGCATCATTGCTCTAATTGAAGAGATCGAGAAGCCTCAACAGCCTTTTGCTAGCACCGTCATCGAAGAACAAAGCTTCGTCATACCACATCTACTACTTTGTCAAACAGCAAAAGTATCCCATATCATCAGGATCGAACATACTTCAGGTTTGACGGACTTGTTTTGACCCTTAAATTCTGAAATCGGCTCGCTCCTTTGGAGGAAACCAGAAAACCCTCCTGCCTAGTTCAAGAATACACCTGTGGAAAGTCAAGTACAACAAAGCGCGTGCCGATTCGTCTGTCTTCTCAAAAAACAAGAGTACCTCATATCATCCCTTCTCCCTGTTTCTTCTCTTTATCCTTATTGCTGAATGAGAGACAGGGAGAATGAGTACAATCAGCCAGAACCCAGGATCAACCTACCGATCTGAGACTGATTGCTTGGAACCCTGATTGCTTACCTTGTCTGTCACCTCCCTCGGTAGATCTCTTCGCTTAGAGACTTAGGGGACTCCTACTATATGGTTTGTATCCACTTGACCAAACCCGAAACTACAAGTAAGCTTTAAATGAAAATGATACATTACCTTGTGCGTCAACGCCAACTATAGATACCACTCATGGATGAAGGAAAAGTATTTCCAAGAGAAAATGCCATATCTACTTACAGGACAGAGAAGGCAAGTGAAGGCGACACCACACTTCGGTACTTGAAAGTTTTGTCATTACTCAATGGCTTGGATCTTGCAAGTCCCCAACCGAGGAGCTTCCTTCACTCGGGAATTTAGGGGAGCACTGTTTGTACCATACTTGACCAATCCTGAAACTACTAAGCACCGGTCAACAGCATATCGTCAAGGACCCACAAGACTTTTCCTCCAACTAGGAGGCCAATCACAACACGACACATGTCGGTATCAGAGGCCAATCATAGTGCGACACGTGTCGATATCAGAGGCCAATCACAACACGACACATGTCAATGTCAGAACAAAGCTAGAAACTCTCTTTTATAAAAAAGGATCATTCTCCTACAATAATCCCTAATGTCATTTGTACTAAATTATTCACTAGAACTCACTAAAAGAGAGCTTGAACCTATGTATTTGTGTAAACCCTTCACAACTAATGAGAACTCCTTTACTTCGTGGACATAGCCAATCTGGGTGAACGACGTACATCTTGTGTTGTTTGCTTCCCTATCTCTATTCATTTATATACTTATCCACACTAATGACCAGAGCAACTTAGCAAAGGTCACAAACTTGACACTTTCTGTTGTACCAAAGTTCTCGCCGATTTTGTGCATCAACACACCCTTTTCACAATCTCTGTTCGAAAAATACGCAGTTATAAGTACATTTCAGGACACGACTTCTCGTTTAGACATCATATCAAATACCAACTGAGCTTGTTTAATGCTCAGACAACTAGCATAGATATTTACAAGGGCACTGCTAACGGTCTCTTCCATTCCATGTCTGACCATAAACCCATGAATTAGACTTCCCCAATTCAAATCTTTCGACGCCAAGCAAGCAGGTAGGATTGAAGAAACTGTTACTACATTGGGTCTCACTCCATTCAACCCCATCTCATGAAATACCTCTAAACCTTGTCTAGGCATCTCGCAGTTAACATAACCTTGTCTAGGTTAAATTTTCTATTAATTTGGCTGTTAAATAATGACATGACAGGAGTGGGACCCTTCATTCTCTAACTAGAACAAAAAATTAATTTTTAATTTAACATTAAAAATTAATAAAAAAAAACTATTCTTCCTCACTCACTCACTCTCTCTGCTCCCACCCATGAATCCGTCGGAACCCAGCCGATGCGGAGCACAAGACGCCGTAGACGTTCAGAGTAAACAACATTGCCACAAAAAACAGAGAGAAATGGACGCCGTGTCCCCTGTTTTTGAAAAGCCCTATTTTCGTAAACTCGTTGACGAGCTTCCTGTAATCTTTGGAAACTTCGGAAACAAAATAGTTTTCGAGATGGAATCCGGTGAAGAACTGGTCTAGGTGCTGCCAGGCGTAGCCGGGTGGTAGGCGACGAACGCATCCGTGACGTCTTGGTCGGTGAAGCTGAGCTAAGGGAGCTACGGGAGCTCGCTGCCGGGATGGCGGTTGGCCCCATCGGAGACGTTGCAGATCTTGCCTTTTACCCAGATCCATAGATCTCCAAGTTGGTTGTGGGTGCTGAGTTTTTCCTCGGGCGTCTGTGACGTCTTGGCCAGCGAGGCTGAGCAACAGGAGCTCGCCGCCGGGATGGTGGTTGGTCCAATCGAAGACGTTGTAAATCTTGCCCTGTATCGAGATCCATAGATCTCCAGGCTTGTTTAGATGCTGAGTTTTTCTTGGGGCGACCGTGACGTCTTGGCAGGCGAGGCTGAGCAACGAGAGTTGCAGCAGAGAGAGTGCGTGAGTGAGGAAGAAGAGAGTTTAATTAATGATTTTTTTAGAATTAATTTAATTGTTAAATAAAAAATTAATAATTTATTAATAAATAATGATTTTTTATAATTAATTTAATTGTTAAATAAAAAATTAATAATTAATGATTTTTTTTCATAATTAATTTAATTGTTAAATAAAAAATATATTAATTTTTTATTCAAGTTGGAGATAAGTGGCCCGCTCATGACACGTCATCATTTAACAACTAAATTAACAAAAAATTTAATAAAGATCTTACATAAGTTGAGATATTAAATTGTACTATTTAAAAGATGAGGTATAAAATTATAATTCGATCCATAATTTATGTAGCTTTTTGTAATTTACGTAAGTGAATTATTGTTTCATGACAGCTGGGAGAGAGGTATTTGTCATATGAATTTATTTGGCAATCAATTTTATAGTAAGCAGTCAACTTAGTTGAGTCTAAATTGTCAATAGTCAAAGTTGTTGGGTCAATTAAAAAAACAAGTCTTTTAATTTACTTGGATTTTTCATTGGGCCATCCATCTTCTCTGCATAATTTTTGTATTAATTTCTTTGGATAAAGTATGCAATCTCAGAACAACGATGCAAGCCTTGAGAAGCTTTTTTACGTGCTTGTTCTTCTTATTCTCCCTTCTAAGAATCTCAGCTGCAACTGCACTGGGCACAATCACTCCGAGTCAATATATAAGAGATGGCGAAACTCTGGTTTCTGTAGGTGGAAGCTATGAACTGGGATTCTTCAACCCAGGTAAATCGAAAAGCCGGTACGTGGGAATATGGTACACTGATTCTACTGATGCAGTTGTGTGGGTAGCCAACAGAGAAACACCACTTGGTGGTTCTTCGGGACTTTTGAAGCTCACCGAGCAAGGAGTTCTGGTCCTCCTTCTCAATAGCTCAAACAGCATTGTGTGGTCATCGAATTCTTCAAGAATCGCGGGGAATCCAGTGTTGCAACTCTTGGATTCTGGAAATCTTGTGGTGCAAGATGGAAATGAAACTAACCTGGATAACTTCTTGTGGCCGAGTTTTAATTATCCTTGTGACACATACCTACCGGAAATGAAGATTGGTTGGGACTTGGTTACCGGTTTAGAGAGGTATCTCTCGTCTTGGAAGAGCACAGAAGATCATGCTCCAGGAGAGTTTTCCTTACGAATAGATTATCGCGGCTTACCACAATATATAGGACTGAATTTGTGTGGAACAAGGATGAAGTCTACTATCTGCAGGGAGAAGCTTCGAGTTTGCAAGTGCTTTTGAAAAGCGGTTGAGAAGTACCGTTTCTTCGCGCCAGGCAATAAGCGACAATGACTCTGTTTAGGCATGAAACGACACGCTTCGTGTGTTTATTAGCTTTATTTCAGGCATGGAACGACATTCCACCCGATTGCATTTTATATTGATTTGTGTTATAAAAAGGTCAAAGTTAGAGGAATAACCTTTTTAATGGTAGGTGCAAGATAGATGTAAAATGCCACACTAAAACTATAGCACAGTCAGATAACAAATAAAAGCAGAGAAAATAGATGATGTTACTGATATTTTTCTCTCGTTCACTTCTTCTTTTCTTTTCTTGTAACTTAAAAACATGCGGAGTGCTCTATTTATAGAGCAACTCCAAACTGATGCAGTTAATGCATTTTGAAATTTTATGACACTTCGTCTGACTATACAATCTCTATGTATTCAACTTTCACTTTGCATGGGCATTGAAAACTTCTGCCCATGCTGAAGACTTTTGCTAACATACTGTGTGGGCATTCATTGTCATCAGACTTTTCAACACTCCCCCTTGGATGCCCACATATCAACATGAGTTGCCTCGTTAAAACCTTGCTTGGAAAAATCCAGTGGGAAAAAACCATAGCGAAGGAAAAAGAGTACAACTTTCCTGGATCGTTGATATAGTGTCAAGTATGCTTATGTTGCCTCGTTAAAACCTTGATAGGAAAAACCCAGTGGGAAAAATCCTAATCGAAGGAAAAATAGTACAACAAGCATGTATCATGGATACTCCCCCTGATATGTATCTCCCTCTGATTCCGCATTCTCCAAATTTAGCTGTTTGGTAAGTCGACGTAATCCGATGCCTTGCACTAACTTCTGAAATGTGCACTTTGGTAAAGATTTGGTGAACAAGTCTGCCAGATTTTCATTTGAACGGATTTGTCTGATTTCAATAACTTTAGCTTTCTGAAGCTCATGAGCACTGAAAAACTTTGGAGATATGTGTTTAGTCTTATTGCCCTTGATGAATCCTTCCTTCATTTGGGCAACACAGGCTGCATTATCTTCATGGATGACAGTTGGATTGTCTGTCTTCGAAGTTAGACCACATGAATTCCGGATATGATGGATCATTGATCTTAACCAAGAACATTCACGATTTGCTTCATGTAAAGCAAGTATTTCTGAATGATTTGAAGATGTAGCAACTAATGTTTGCTTGGTTGAGCGCCATGAGATTGCTGTATCTCCATTCTTAAACACATATCCAGTTTGTGAGCGGGCTTTATGTGGATCAGAGAGGAAGTCAGCATCTGCATATCCAACAAGGACCTGGTCATCTGTGGAGTTCTTTGAGTAGAAGAGACCCATGTCTGTTGTCCCACGAAGGTATCGCAATACATCTTTGATACCCTTCTAATGGCGAATTGTTGGAGCAGAGCTATACCTTGCTAACAAGTTAACTGAAAAAGCTATATCTGGTCTAGTACATTGTGCTAAATACAACAAAGCACCTACTGCACTCAGATATGCTACTTCTGGACCAAGGACCAGTTCATCATCTTCTTTTGGACGGAATGGATCTTTCTTAATGTCCAAAGAACGAACGACCATTGGCATGCTTAGTGGATAAGCCTTGTCCATACCAAATCGCTTCAGAATTTTTTCAATGTAAGCTGATTGGTGGACCAAAATTCCACTAGCACAATGCTCGATCTGCAGGCCGAGACAATATTTTGTTTTTCCAAGGTCTTTCATTTCAAATTCGCTTTTCAGATATTCAGCAGTTTTATTGAGCTCTTCAGGAGTCCCAACTAGATTCATATCATTAACATATACTGCCACTATAGCGAATCTAGAATTGGATTTCTTAATGAACACACAAGGGCAAATAACATTGTTGATATACCCTTCTTTGATCAAATACTCACTGAGACGATTATACCACATTCGTCCAGATTGTTTCATACCATACAATGATCGCCTTAATTTGATCGAGAGCATACCTCGTGGTTTATTACTTGTTTCAGGCAACTTAAGTCCTTCTGGGACTTTCATATAGATGTCAGTATCTAACTCTCCATATAGATACGCAATGATGACATCCATAAGTCGCATGTCAAGTCTTTCTGAAACCACTAAACTTATTAAGTAACGAAACGTAATTGCGTCCATTACAGAAGAGTATGTCTCCTCATAATCAATTCCAGGTCTTTGAGAAAAACCTTGTGCAACGAGTCGAGCTTTGTATCTAACGATCTCGTTTTTCTCATTTCGTTTCCTTGTGAATACCCATTTGTAACCCACGGGGTTTACATTAGGCGAGGTTTGGACTACTGGTCCAAAAACATTCCACCTTTTCAAGGAATTTAATTCTGCCTGGATTGCATCTTTCCACTTAGGCCAATCCTGTCTCTGTTTGCATTCATCAACAGAGCGGGGCTCAATATCATCACTTAAGATGATTTCAGTGGCTACTGCAAATGCAAACATATCATCGATGATTATTTCATTCCGATCCCACAATTCATTTGTACATGCATAGTTTATGGAGATTTCTTTTCTTTCATGTACTTCTGTCTCTTCAGGGACATATGTCTCATCAAGGACATTTTCTTTTTCTGGAAGTCCAGAATCATGAATTGTGGATGTATCATTCATTTTCTCTTCTTGAATGACTTCATTTAGATTCAGTTGTGCCCTCGACTTTCTCTTTCGAGGGGCTGAATCTTTTGAACCTTGGGGTCTACCACGCTTCAGGCGTGCGCTAGATGAATCATTCGCTGCCACTTTATTTTCTCCAACATGGACAACAATTCTTGCAGGTGCATTTGCAGCTGGTATATGTGATTTTGTCACTTTCATAGCATCATTAAATGCATCTGGCATTTGATTGGCAATGCTTTGAAGATGAACGATCCTTCTCACTTCATTTTCACATTGAATGCTGCGAGGATCAAAATGAGACAAGGTGGGAACAACCCATGTCAGCTCTTTCTGTTCTTCTGGAACGGTCTTTTCTCCCCCTAACGACGGGAAAATTGTCTCATCAAAGTGACAATCAGCAAAACGAGCTGTAAACATATCACCTGTCAAGGGTTCCAAATATCTAATGATAGATGGTGAATCAAAACCCAAGTAAATTCCCAGTCTACGCTGAGGTCCCATTTTAGTGCGTTGCAGCGGCGCAATAGGCACATAAATAGCACAACCAAAAACTCGTAAATGGGAAATGTTTGGCTGATGTCCAAACACGAGTTATACTGAAGAGTATTGATGGTTGGCTATAGGTCTCAATCGAACCAATGATGCAGCATGTAAGATGGTATGTCCCCATGCAGAGACTGGTAATTTGGTTTTCATAAGCAGAGTGCGAGCTATTAACTGAAGCCGCTTGATCAATGCTTCTGCTAAACCATTTTGAGTATGGACATGAGGAACAGGGTGTTCAACATCAATGCCCAATGTCATGCAATAATCATCAAAGGTTTGAGACATATTACCAGCATTATCAAGTCAGATAGACTTAATGGGATAATCTGGGAACTGTGCTCGTAACTTAATTATCTGAGCAAGAAGTCTCGCAAAGGCTACATTCCGAGTAGACAAGAGACAAACATGTGACCATCGGGTAGATGCATCAACCAAAACCATAAAATATCGAAATGGTCCACATGATGGTTGAATAGGCCCACAAATATCCCCTTGAATTCTTTGCAGAAATGATAGGGATTCAGCATCAACCTTTAGTTGAGATGGTCTAATTACCAACTTCCCTTGAGAACAAGCTTTGCAAGGGTTATCATTTGAGGCAGCAATGTGTTTGCTCACTAATGGATGTCCATTAGAGTTGGTAATGATCCTACGCATCATGGTAGATCCTGGATGACCCAGACGGTCATGCCAAAGCATGTAAACCTTTGAATCAATGAACTTCTGGTTCATGACAATATGTGATTCAATTGTCCTTATGTATGTATAATACAATCTACTCGACATACCACGCAACTTCTCTAATATACGCTTCTGGATATCATTGGAGGTAATGCATAGATACTCCACATTTTCTGCACTTTTTGTTTCAATGTGGTATCCATTTAGACGTATGTCTTTGAAATTCAACAAATTTCGAGTAGATCGAGTAGCATACAATGCATTCTGTATGGACAATATTGTTCCATTTGGTAACATAATCTGGGCTTGCCCTGAACCTTGAATTACATCTGAAGGTCCTGATATTGTTGTTACCCCTACTCTTGTAGGTATTAAGCTTGAGAAATACTTTCGATCACGAAGTATTGTATGTGTGGTTGCACTGTTTGCAAGACAAATATCTCCGCCATTTCTCATGTTCTGAGAATAACCACATTTTTTATCCATGCTCTCTGAGTAAGAGAATCAGAATTAAAAGCAAGTTATAACAAGAAAATTTACATGCCACTTTTATTTAATCTGAAATACTACAAGTTCAGCATAATAAAAGTACATTAATGATTCAATCGGACCGGTACACTTCATTTCCCCTTTCCATAATAAAGTCTGGAACATCTAGATGAGTTGTGTTCAACTGCCTTGATAAGTCAAACACTGGATCAGGTATATCCATTGGTCTAGCCTGGTCGAGAAAGTTGGTCTCGACACCCTTCTCCTTGAGGGAGGCTTGATACAGATCCACTAGATGTTTTGGGGTACGACAAGTACGCGCCCAATGCCCATTGCCACCACACCTATGGCAGGCTCCTTCAGAGTTTCTAAGAGCATTGTTCATATGAGCTTTGCCTTTGTGGCGATTCGCATTTTTGAAGCTCGTGCCTGAATTATGCCTCAGAACCTGGTTGTGAAACTGAACTCCATGGTTCTTGCCTTTCCTATTCCATCGACCTCGCTTGTGACAACGTCCTCATTTATGATTATCACCACCAGAGGATATGGCGTTCACTTCGGGGGAAGCAGCATTCACTTCTGGGAATGGTGCAGATCCAGTAGGTCGGGAATTATGGTTTTTCATTAGGAGCTCATCATTCTGTTCAGCT